TGAGGGATTAGTAATCTATAGCCCTCCAGTTGGTATAGGTGAGATGGGAGAAAGCCTAGTGGGTATCAGGCACATCCCTGGAACTCAGCCTGCCAAGTTTATACAGATGGGAAGCCTCGAGTCCATTTTTTAGATTTCAGAAATATGTGCCACAAGATTCCAGTTTGCTACCTGCATTGGCTTTCCTTCGTTTTGTAACATTTGCCCAGTTTTGCCCAAAGGGTTCCTGTTTCTTACCCTGTATTTTTCAGATGTAGCTCCATCTCATTAAAGATGATGGAGCTCTGTGATTTTACCTAAACCTGAGAGAATGCTTCTGTAACAGTTGATCCTCTTCACATCTCTTTCTTTAAATATTCCCATTTTACAGGTAAGAAAAGAAAAGTATAGGGAAATAAAATAACTCAAGGTTTGCATGGTGAGTAGACAGCAAAAGCTAAGATTCCTCACTAGCCTATCTACTTCCATTCTTCTCTCACTACAGTAAATTCTCTGTATAGGAGCCAAAGCAGAGTTTGTTCACTTTTTATAAACTTTTTATTATAGAACAGTTTTAGATTTACAGAGAAATTGCGGAGCTACTACAGAGTTTCCAAATAACCCATGCTCAGTTTCTCTTGTTGTTAACATCTTATATCAGCATGGCACGCATATTGCAATTAATGCAGCAATGTTGACGCCTTATTATTAAGCAAAGCCCATACTTTGTTCTGATTTTGTTAGTTTTTATCTAATGTCCCTTTTCCGTTGCAGGACTCCATCCAGGATAGCACATTACATCTAGTTGTCCTACCCGTTAGACTCCTCTAGACTGTGGCAGTTTCTCTAACTCCCCTTGTTTTTGATGACCTTGACAGCTTTGAGGAGTACCAGTCAAATACATTGTAGAATGTCCTCTAAATGGGATTAGTCTGTTGTTTTTCTCATGATTAGACTTGAGTTATAGCTTTTGAGGAGGAAGAGGTAAACGCCATTTTTCTTCCATTGTATCATTTATCACTGTTGATGTTGACCTTGATCACCTGGCCAAGGGAGTATTTGTCAGGTTTTGCCCACATAAAGTTACTCTTCCCCCACTTTCCACACTGTCCTCTTTGGAAAGAAGTTGCTACAGACAGCCTGTATGAAAGGACTGAGAGTTAAGCTCCATCTCTTTGAAGGCAGAGTTTGTACCTACAGTATTTGGACTTGATTCCGTATTTCCTTGTTCAAAATCCTACAGTGGCTTTATACCACTTTGAGAATGAAATAGAAACTCCTCTCCAGTGCTAAATGTCCCTTGGTGATTGGGGCCCAGGGTCCTCTCCTAGAGTCCGTTACCATTTTCAGCAAAGCCCACTCTGTTCATCATGGAGCAGCTGCAGCCTTGGCCTCTGCCCAGCACACCTGTCTTTTCTGCCCAGCACACCCGTCTTTCAGCCCAGTACCTGGTTTGCTTCCCCACTCGACTGAGTCTCTGAGAGCCTTTTCGTTATCACCTCATTCAAAAAGAGTATTCTGTCTCCGTTTACTCTGTTTCATTAGCCTGTATTTCATCATTGGACTTATCACTACTAATGATCCGTACTTACACCTTTGGTTCCTTATCTTTCTCTCCCAGCACCAAGTAAGTTACGTGAGGGTGGGGCCGTATCTTACTCACTCATGCATCCTACTTCCTAGAACAATATCTAGCACATCATAGGTGCTCAGGAAATACTTGCTGAATGAACTAAAGGAATGAACTAGTTGATTTTTGAAAGAAATCATCCTTAGGTCTCTTGTAGTTGAAGTGTTCTGTGTCTTTATGAACTAGTAATTCCCTTTCTGACTTTTTCTCTTCAGTATCCTAGAGGCATTTTAGAAAGAGAGCCCTGGCCTTTTTTTTTTTTTTTTTTTTTAAACAAGCACTTCGGAGTTTAAGATAGCAAATAAATAAAATCCTGAGTTTCTCTTTTGTTTAATGTACTCCGTGTTTAAAATTTGATTGGGTGAAATAAGCCATCGTCAACCCCTATCTCTGGGGGATCTCCCTGTTGTCAGACCAGTGGAACTGGTGCCTCGGGATAGAAATCTTCCAGTCACACTTCTTAGTACTTGAGTAACAATACTTCTTGGTGCCAAAGAATCTTGCCTGGTTAGGAATTGCTGCTGATAGTAACTCTTGATTGAAGCCTCAGCCTTGCAGTAACTCAAAAGTGAAAAATATCTTTAGAAATTTCCAATGAAGGGGCACCTGGGTGGCTCAGTCAGTTAAGCGGCTGCTTTCAGCTCAGGTCATGATCCCAGGGTCCTGGGATGGAGCCCCACATCGGGCTCCTTGCTTGGTGGGGAGCCTACCTCTCCCTCTCCCTCTACCTGCTGCTCCCCTGCTTGTGCTCGCTCTCTTTCTCTCTCTCTCAAATAAATAAGTAAAATCTTTTTTTTTTTTTTAAGATTTTATTTATTTGACAGAGAGAAATCACAAGTAGGCAGAGAGGCAGGCAGAGAGAGAGGAGGAAGCAGGCTCCCCGCGGAGCAGAGAGCCCAATGCGGGGCTCGATCCCAGGACCCTGAGATCATGACCCTAGCCGAAGGCAGAGGCTTTAACCCACTGAGCCACCCAGGCGCCCCGAATAAGTAAAATCTTTTTAAAAAAAGATATTTCCAGTGAAATACTGTGAGGTTTTTGTTTGTTTGCCATCACAAAGCCAATTCATGCTGGAGCCCATTTCCTCGTCTGTAATTTTCCCTGATCCCACACTAATAAGGAGCCATTTGTTTTCACTCCAGTTTTCAGGAATTGGAAATCTTTTATTCACAGCAGATTCAGTCCCAGGCAAGCCATTTTTCTGAGGCTCAGCTCTGACTCTCATAAGACTCTGGAAAGAATATAGAAGATTTGCTCAATTGGCTGTTGGTCAACTCTAAAGGAAGAAACATCACCTTTCTTTTTTCTTTTAAGAAAAAAAATTAGGTTAAAAAAAAGGCTTCCCACCCACATTTGCTATGCTATTTTATCCCTGTTTATTTAGGAAATGTCACATGAAAAGAATTACTTATTGCACCTTTAAGCTCTAGACAGGAAACAAGGTTTCTGCTTCATGGTAGGTCATGTTTTGGGTAGAACCACATATGTGCAGAGTGTGAACCATAGCCATTGCAGAGCCTTCGTTTTGAGCTTCCATTCTGGCTAATGGAAAAAAAAATGGAACTATTGTCTATGCATCCTTTCTCCTAGTTTGTGTTGATTGGCTTCCATATTCTTAAAGGAGGTAACGAAGGTCTGGAATGTCCGTGGATATGCAAATCAAAACCACAGATGATTTTGCCAGAGAAGATATGCAAATGCCCAGTAAGCACATGAAAGCATGCTCCACAGATTAGTCATAGGGAAAATGCAAGTTGAATTCATAATGAGATACCCCTTCACACCCACCAGGATGACTATGATCAAAAAGATGTACAATCATAGTGTTGACAAGAATATGGAAAAAATGGAACCTTCATACGTCACTGGTGAGCATGGAAAATGGTGCAGCCACTTAGGAAAATAATTTGGCAGTTCCTCAAAAGGCAGTTACTATATGACCCAGCAATTCTACTCCTAGACATATACCCAAGAGAAATGAGAACCTATCTGTATACAAAAACATGTCCACAGATACTCACAACAACATTATTCAAAATAGCCAAGAAATGGGAAGAACCCAAATGCCCATCACCTTTGAATGCATAAACAAAATGTGGTAGGTCCATGTAACAATATCGTTCAGCCACAAAAAACCCAAAGTATTGATATAAGCTATAACACAGATGAACCCTGAAAACGTTTTGCTGAAAGAAGCCAGACACAAAAGACCACATATTGTATGAATCTGTTTATATGAAATATCCAGAAGAGGCAAATCCACAGACATATAAAATGGGTTAGCAGTTGTCAGGGTGTGGATGTAGTGGGAATGGGGAATGACTGCTAAAGGGTACGGATTTCTTTTGGAGGTGATGAAAATGTTCTGTGGTTAGATAGTGGCAATTATTTCACAATCTTGTAAATATACTAAAAACCACTGAATTGGACACTTTAATGGATTTTATGGTATGTAAATTATATCTCAATTAAAAAAACAACAGGGGCGTCCTGGGATCCAGCCCCACATTGGGCTCTCTACTCAGCAGGGAGCCTGCTTCCTCCTCTCTCTCTCTGCGTGCTTCTCTGTGATCTCCGTCTGTCAAATAAATAAAATCTTAAAAAAAAACACACACCACAAATTATTTCACATGCACTAGAATCTGGTTAAAACAAAAGACAGTGACAGGTGTTGATGGTGTGGAGAAATCAGAAGTGTCCCTCATTGTTGGTGGGATTCTAAAATGATACAGCTCCTTTGGAAAACAGTTGGATAGTTCCTCAAAATATTAAGTATAGAGTTAGCTTATAACTCAGGAATTCCACTCCTAGATATTTACCAAAAGAAAAGAAACCATATATCAACACAAAGACTTGTAAATAAAAATTTACAGCAACTTCATTTGCAACAGTCAAAAACTAGAAAGAGGAATACTCTTCAGCAATAAAAGGGAAGGAGCTCCTGATTCATGGAGCAACAGTGACAAACCTCAGAAACATCATGCTTCATGAAAATCAGAAACCAAAGACTACATGTTGTTGGAGTCCGTATATACGAAGCTTCTAGAAAAGGCAAAACTATAGACAGAAAGTTATCAGTGATTGCCTGTGGTTGGGGATGAGAGTGGCAATTGACGACAAACCAGCAGGAGGGAATTTTTTGTGGTGATGGAAAATGTTCTAAAACTGGACTGTGGTGATCGGTTGCACAACGGCTTAAATTTACTAAGACTCTGTGAATGGTATACTTAAAATGGGTGTATTTTAGGGTATGTAAATGATACCTCAAAAATCTGTTTTAAAAAGTCAGTAGTCTAGGACTTAGGATATAGTTGAACCACACACACACACACACACACAACAACAACAACAACAAAAAGAAAAACAAACCCTTTCTTTCTCTTCACCGCAGACCCGTCCTCCCACTGACTTGAGCTTTAACTCTGATGCCAACAAACAGCAAAGACAACTTATAGCAGAACTGGAAAACAAAAACAGGTAAGAACGCAGAGGTCGAGCCAGCTTCTAAAGTCCAAGATCATCACGTGAGTATCTGATTCTCATTTTCCTTGTGGATTAGCTGGCTTTTGACTCTAAAGGAAGATCCTGCCTCAGTGAATATAGGCCACACGCACTCATGGGAATGCCCCTACTCTAATGTGTAGTTCTCTGCACGCCGTACATTCTGATAGCCCACAGCCTTGCTCGCGGGCCCTCAGGTGGGTCCTTTACCCCAGTGCCTTCTCCCACCACCAGTTCCCCTCCCATGATTCCCTTTTCCACTCCAACCCCCTTTTGCTCTGTCTAGTCATCTTATCCGGGCCCACTGTGTTGTGTGTGACTGTCTGGTCTCTCACCACAAAGCCATTTAAAGACACAGAGGAAGGTGCCAGGGTGGCTCAGTTGGGTAAACGTCTGCCTTCCGCTCAGGTCATGACCCCAGGGACCTGGGATCGAGCCCTGCATCAGGCTCCTTGCTCTGCAGGGAGACTGCTTCACCCTCGGCCTCCTGTTCCTCCTGCCTGTGTTCTCTCTCTCTCTCAAATAGATAAATGCAATCAAATAAATAAATGGAGGAAGGAAGGCAGGCAGGCAGGCACGGAGACCAGACAGCATACCAGTATGCCCTGAGAGGCAGAAACCAGGAGAAGGAGATTGGATGTAACATAACAGGCATAGGAAATAGAAATGGTAGCTGTTGTCGCTCAGTGGCTCAAGAGAAAGAAGAGAAACAAAGACAGGGGTGGGGGTGGGGGGTATGGAGGTTGGGGAGTACAGGGTGGGGTAGGGGAGTACGAGGGGGGTACTTAGCATGGGACCAACATTAGGAGGTTGCGGGGAATTCTTTTATCTTTTCCCTAGAAACGAACAGACCATTCTAGTGATTGTTTTCTTTTTGTGGAGATTTTTCAAGTTCTTGAGAAGATTATTTATATGACTTTCTCCCACAAAGGATTGTTTCATTGAGGAAATACAAAATGCAGCAGTGTTCAGAAGGTGGCTGTTTCACATCTGGGTCATTTGGAAACAGAACAAGATTGGTAGAGGCCACTGTACTAGCATTAGAAGTCCTGACAGGAAAGAGAGCTATTTCTTTCATCTGTCCTCTCTAGGGAGATCCTGCAAGAGATCCAGCGTCTCCGTCTGGAGCATGAGCAGGCTTCCCAGCCCACCCCCGAGAAGGCGCAGCAGAACCCCACATTGCTGGCCGAGCTGCGGCTGCTGAGGTAAGAAGGGATACTGCACCACTGTCTGCAGAAGACTGAAGAGGGTCTTGGCAGGACTAGTGCTCTTCTGTCCTACAAGTATATTCTCCTGGTGCCTCATAGATCAGGACTGTGTTGAGTGAGAAGGGTGCTCGCTACCTCAGACACAAAACCACATGGGAATCCCTTGCATCACGGCTGTGGGATCTTCTCACTTCAACATAAATAGAAACTATTTCAGTGCTGGGAGACTAAAGGTCACAGGGTCTGACTAGGGGTAGAGAGCAGCTTCAGCCCCCACTCAGTTGCTATTCTGGAGGGAATGGAGAAATCTTCTAGAAGAGTATAACATGAAAATGAGCCAATCAAAGCTATCAGGGTCTTATTTCCTACCAGTCTTAGAAAGATGTGTGTGTACTCTTTGGTTAAGTGAAGACATTTTAGACACTAAGTGACCTGATCTTCACCAGACCTCTAAATTTCCAGAGTGGGTTCTTTCTGTGGAGATTGTAACATTTGACATTCCACAGTTGATGTTTAATGTTCTATCACCTGGGATTTTGCACAGCTATCCTTTTTTATAAGTTAACATATAATGTATTATTAGTTTCAGAGGCAGAGTTCAGTGACTCATCATTCTTATATAATACCGAGTGCTCATTACATCACGTGTCCTCCTTAATGTCCACCACCCAGTTACCCCATCCTCCCATCCCACTCCCCTCCAGCAACCCTCAGTTTGTTTCCTATAACTAAGAATCTCTTATGGTTTGTCTCCCTCTCTGGTTTCATCTTGTTGTATTTTTCCCTCTCTTCCCCTATGATCCTCTGTTTTGTTTCTTAAAGTCCACCTATAAGTGAGATCATTTGATAAATAATTGTCTTTCTTTGATTGACTTATTCTGCTTATAGCTGTCCTTTTTTAATTCTTCATTTGGCTTAAGTCATTTAGCTTCCCAACCATGATTTCTTTTCCTAGAGAATAGAGAATATTGTCTTTCTGTCTAGATTTATATCATCAATAAATAAGTCGTAAAGAATTAAAACTGCAGGTGAAAATCATTAGAGGCACAGAGATTCCCATTCTTCTGAAAATTCATTTTAGTTTCTATGTTTAATTGGGCTTGAGGATTTGGTTGCTGTGCAGTCCTCTGTTGCATGCCTGGGATGTTAGCAGGTTGGTGCTACACTAGGAAGTCTGCGAGAGGGTGTGCTGCTGACTCAAGCCCAGCGTAACTCTAAACTCTCAGCATAAGATGGAACCTTCCATTTCCCCACCACGGCTCAGGCACAAGTAAGTATTTTGTGTCTAGCAAAGCAAAAATGGTTATACTCCAGTCTTAACTGTTGCTGGAAGTGGGATTACTAAAAGTTCTTTACTAACCCAGAGGGGTCTAAAAATATCAGAGATTTAGTAGGCAAAGGGCTAAATCTAGGGGGGTCTTGGCATGTAGGCAGGAAGAAGCAAGAATTTAACGTAATCCAAGAAGGGTCTAACTCTTGAGAAATCAGGAAGTATTTAATCTCAAAAGCAGCTTCCATTATCACGGAAGAAAGAGGAACTATTTCGGAAGCGTGCAGGACCAGTTGGTTATGCCTACTGACAAAACATGCTGGCTCTTCTCTTCACCCTATAGAGAAAATACCACCAGGTGGATTAAATGTGAAGACAAAACTTTAAAACTTTAGAAGAAAATGTAGGGAATGTCCTTTTTTTTTTTTTTTTAAGATTTTACTTATTTCTTAGAGCATGACTGGAATGCGGGGGCAGAAGTAGAGGGAAAGGAAAAGCAGACTCCCCACTGAGCAGGGAGCCCAATGTGGGGCTTGATCCCAAAACTCTGGGATCGTGACCTGAGCAGAAGGCAGGCGCTTAACTAACCATGAAAGTTGTTGGTAAATTCATCTGTATTTATATTAAGAACTTTTGTTTGTCAAGACATAGAAAGGGCAAGTTTCATTCCTAGGTATCTGACATCCTTCTGGTTTTGACCGATATATATGAATCCAGGAGCTGCCAATACCCAGCTGGTTTATACCTACCTATAATGAAAGAAGATGGAGAATTTTGTTCTTAGGATTAGTGCTTATGAATCCTGACCACCAGGGTTGTCTTTCCCCCTGGATTATTATTTTTAGTGGTATACTCATTACAATAGCATATATGACAAATGTGTAAGATATGTAGCATAACGATAAAATGAACGCACATGAACCCACATCCTACTCATATATTGTTAAACATGTATAAGTGCCCCCATTTCCTGGTTTCCACCTTCCCCACAGAGCTCACCTCTATCCAGAATTTGGTTTATCATTCCTTTGCTTTTTAAACATTATTTTAAAATATATGTGTATTCTCACATATTAAAGTGTTTAGTTTACGTTTTGTTTTTTGAGCTTTAGAGAAATGTTATTATATGCAGATAGTGGAACCTTTCCCCCTCAGTATTACAGTTCAGGACCCTTCCATGTTGTTGCTTGTAGCTGGAGTTCATTCATTTTCACCACATATTATAATTACTTGGTTACGCATAGCACCGGAAAAGAGTCCTGCATCCAGTCTTAAAAGTAAAGGGAAGAAAGACTTTCTAGAAAATTGAATGAGTCCGTTTCTTTTTATTGCATTTATAACTGCACTAGAAATTTAGGGAATATGAAGACTAGAAAACGATTCCATCTTAAAAATTTATAATATAGGGCGCCTGGGTGGCTCAGTGGGTTAAGCCGCTGCCTTCAGCTCAGGTCATGATCTCAGGGTCCTGGGATCGAGTCCCGCATCGGGTTCTCTGCTCAGCGGGGAGCCTGCTTCCCTCTCTCTCTCTGCCTGCCTCTCTGTCTGCTTGTGATCTCTGTCTGTCAAATAAATAAATAAAATCTTTAAAAAAAAATTTATAATATAGTTTTGGAGGGGCGCCTGGGTGGCTCAGTGGGTTAGGGCCTCTGCCTTCGGCTCGGGTCATGATCAGGTCCTGTGATCGAGCCTCGCATCGGGCTCTCTGCTCATCAGGGAGCCTGCTTCCTCCTCTCTCTCTGCCTGCCTCTCTGCCTACTTGTGATCTCTGTCTGTCAAATAAATAAATAAAATCTTTAAAAAAAATTTATATTATAGTTTTGGGGATAAATGTGAAATAATTTTCTAGTCAGTTAACTAATATTATATAGAGTTAGTAAGTAGTATGGAAACTATATCGTAAGAAATCTAGGTAGGTGGGGGCTCCTGAGTGGCTCAGTCAGTTAAGCATCTGCCTTCAGCTCAGGTCATGATCTCAGAGTTGTGGGATCGAGCCCTACGTTGGGCTCCCTGCTCAGCAGGGAGTCTGCTTCTCCCCCTACCTCTCGTCCTGCCCTGCTCATTATCTCCCTCTCTCTCTCAGATTAAAAAATAAAATCTTAAGAAAGAATTTAAGTAGGGAAATACACATACACACGCTGGAAGCAGTTAGACCCATGGACGTGGTGGAAGTTGAGCTAGACCATGAAAGGTAAGGATAACGAGGATGGAATCTGGGAGAAAACATTTCAGGTTAGAAGTGGAGTTGGGGCTCATCATGATCCCCCGAATAACTATGATACATTTCAGACAAGGGAAGGAGTCTTGGAGCTAAGAATTTGTTTCAAGCATCCCTTGCATTAATCTTTAAAGTGCCAGTGATAGAGATAACATTAGTTGAATAATTAAGACCAGATTCTAAAGAGCCTTATGTGATGGGTGATTGGAAGCCCTCAGGATTTCAAACTGCAATTGGGTTAACTTTGCTAGATGTTAACTGGGTACATACTGGAGGCGTGATAGTCTCTTAATCATTCAGTACACCACAAGACTCATCCCCCGACCTCAAGGATTTTGCATCATGGTAGGAATGATAGCAACGCAAGGTAAAAGAAATTAAGTGCCACAGAGAAGCTCCAGTTGCTGTGGTGATTAATTAAGCAGGATCTGATACCTGCTGAAGTCATCAGGAGCAACTTCCTGGGAAAAGCGACGTGTGGGTTGGACACTAAGGAGTGAATAACATCCGGGAGAAGGGAGGAATGGCTGTGAGTCGTAAAGTGATAGGATCGGTTTGGGTAAAAGGGAACCATTAACTAGACATCCAGACATGGAAGGGAGTAGAAGGTGAGGCACTAGGGATAGGGATGTAGGTAGGGTGTGGAGCAGCGCTCTCTGACACAGATGTAATGTGAGCCACATAGGTAATTAAAACTTTGCTAACAACCACGATGAGAAACTGAAAGGAAATAGGTGCCATTAATTTTAACACTATCTTTTACTTAACCTGATTTACCCAAAATATTAGCATTTCAACATATAATCAACATTAAAAAATATTAATGAGATATTTTACTTTTTTTTTTTCTTCACACTAAGGTTTTGAGATCCAGTGCATCTAATTTAGAAGAGCCCCATCTCAAGTGTTCAGTAGTCACGTGTGGCTAGTGGCTACTAGAGTAGACAGCTGAGGCATGGATCGTGCAAGGCAAGAGTTAGGGATGCTAGAAATTCTACTACTGAGGTTATTTCATAGGATGATGAAATGAACACTTTTTCTTTGAGCAGCCCTATAGAGTCATAAAACACTTTCATATCTTTTTTGATCCTCAAAATATTGCCATTGTTTGTAATTAGTCCCATTTAAGTGAAGAGAAAATTGAGGCTCTTATAGGGCATGTGGCTTGTTGAAGGTTGCAGTATTTAGTAAATGGTGGCCCTCAAGTCTCCTGATTTCTATTCCATTTCGCCATAATGATGGTATCAGGATTAATCAAGATAGGAGACCATTGCACGTGTGAGGTAAGGTGTGCCTGGATAAAGTGAGAGACGTGGGAAGAGAAAAACACATAAATTTCTAGGAACGAATCATCTGTATTGGGTGATGAAGAATAGGGTAAAAGCAGAAAAGTATTAAAGAGGACCAAAGTTTTTAGCCATGACAACTAGAAGAAATCAGGAAAGAGAACCATTTATGGACCACAGTCTTTGGTTTGGGACATATTGAGCTAGAATTGACATGAAATCTGTCCTCAGGAACAAGTGAATTCTCTTAGACACAATTACCCTGATGTCAGTCACACTCTTGAGGCTGGCGTCTGGTGCCGAGCAGTTTTCATACACTTTCTCACTATCAGTTTAAATTTGGACTATTTCTAAATGTGGTATTTGACTTCCTGAGGAATTTTTAAAATCGCCTTAATAATATTAATAATACTTTTTCTCTGCATTGCTATATCAATATTGTGTGTTTTCCGAAGCATTTTTACATACTATTCTCATACCAGTAAAGGAAAGAGAGCAAAACAAATATTATCACCACTTTCTAACATGACGTAGCAGAGGTTAAATGACTTGCTCAGCGTCTCAGACCCTGGTCAGTAGCAGAATCAGGTCAAAACCCATTTCACCTAGGCTTGGACCCTTCTTTGCAAGTCCCGTTATCTTCAGAGTTCCCTTTCTGATGGGCTTTTCCCCCTCGGACAGGCAGAGGAAGGACGAGCTGGAGCAGAGAATGTCGGCACTGCAGGAGAGCAGGCGCGAGCTGATGGTTCAGCTGGAAGGGCTGATGAAGCTGCTGAAGGTGAGCGGGCTGGGCCGGTCGCCGCCTCCCGGCGCCCCGCCTCCCGATGCCGCGCCTCCCGATGCCCCGCCTCCCGGCCTCCCCACCCTCCGCTCAGCGGCTCTTCCCCTTCACCGTGGACTCCGCCGCAGCCTCCCCTGTGGTGTCAGGACGGGGTTCAACTAAAAGCTGAAATACCGCCTCCCGTAAAGTTAGCCCTGACTCCACAAAGTCGTCGAAACTAGTGTGAAGCCTGATGGTAAAAAATGAGTAACTGAAACTAGAGTCCTGTCCTTGAGTAGTTGCTTTTATGAACAAATATAAAGGTTTGTAAACAGGATATTAACTATATATACATGAATCTTTCTCAGCGGTTTAAAGTTTCTCTTAAGACAGGTTTTCAAATATTCCACCTAAATGCGTAACAATTATGAAGTGTCCTATTTTAGTAAGTATTACAGCAGCAAACCAAGCTAATCAGACTCATCCTAACGAATACCTTTATTAGGAGGAACAGGATAGCATATCAACTCTAGGTTTTTATACTGGGGCTTAAATAACTCTGGGATTGGGGCGCCTGGGTGGCTCAGTGGGTTAGGCCTCTGCCTTCGGCTCAGGTCAAGATCTCAGGGTCTTGGGATCGAGCCCCGCATCCGGCTCTCTGCTCAGCAGTGAGCCTGCTTCCTCCTCTCTCTGCCTGCCTCTCTGCCTACTTGTGATCTCTCTCTGTCAAATAAATAAAATAAAATCTTTAAAAAAAAAAAAAAAAAACTCTGGGATGATTCAGATCTCACTGTTTTTGTTGAAGCATGTATTACAACCCCTGAACCCCAGAAGAGAGAGAGGCACGCTTGGCATTTAAATGTCCTCACCTAGACAGTTTTACTGGTATTCGACAGAAATATTTACCCAGATACGGAGCAGCCATACCAGAGCACATTTGTTCCTGCTGCTAATTCCTTAGGTCTCTGTGCCTGTGCTGTAAACCACTGTATTTTGTGGTGTGACACAGCATTGGCGAGCCAGAGTGGAAATCACACAGTGTGGAGTACTTCAAAAGCCAGGCCGAGGGGATTGGATTTAATCCTGTGGTAGGGGAGTCATTGAAGGTTTTGGAAATACTGGTTTGGGAAAATGTGTAGAGCAGACCAGAGAAGGGAGAAGCTACAGGAGACATGGAGACAAATATAACCATCCAGTCTGAAGTGAGTGACGGGGTCCAGACTAGGAGTGGTGGCTCCAGAGAACATCAGCTTGGAGACTTTTCTTCAACTTCTTTATTCTAGACGAGTCCCTTCACGATGAAGCTAGTGGCATTAGCAGCTTGGGTAAATTTAGTGTCTGTGTTTTAAACTGACTCGTGACTTGCTCAACACAATCTCTGCTTTAAGTCTCGAGCTGAGGGTTTTTTTGTTTTGCTCTGTTTTGTTTTTTTTGCTTTTTCTTTTCTTTCCCTAGCTTTGGTCCCGGGGAATTTGGGTTTTGCATGGACATGTTTCTACATTAACCCTTTTAACAGAATTTCTCCTAAGAAATATTTCATGTCTAGGTAGGTCTTGTTTAAAGAAAACTTTACGCGTAAAACCTGGCCCACATCCCTCCAATAGCTGTCAGGTATCCAGCTACTCCAGCCTTGTCGCCTGCTCAAGGCAGCAGAGATGTATTTAAATGCATTTGGCTGTTGTAACCTCTGGAATCGTGTGGGGCTTTGAAAGCCCTGTCATGTGGGGTAGTCCCCTGACGGGAGATAAAGGGATCCACTCACCCCTTGCCTGGGTCAAACTCCTTTTAGTAAGATGCTCTAGACATTACCCAAACATAGATGGGAAGGTACCCTAGGGTAATTTTTGTGAAAGGCAAAAGATTTATGCAAACTGAAAGGAGGTCAGAATATATTTCCCCAAAGTACAGTGGTGTGCTTTCTCATCAGCTGGGTGGCCCTCATGGTTCTTAGAGTTCCTGGTTCAGAGCCCCATGTATATCACTTGACCTTGTAGTTCACTTCTGATGCCTGTGTTCAAGTGCTAAGCAGAATGAGCTGATGCCTGGAACTCTGATCGCAACCCCTCAGTTTCTTTGTATTTCTAGCTATTGTCTTACGGTAAAATAAGCAGGATCCTGGTGCCCCATTTTGCAGAATCCCCTGCCAGCTTCTTAAATGCCTTATAATTTACTCACCTGATAGGTTGAGGCCATTCAGAGTGGGAGGAGGAATTTGTGACACAAGACCAGGAATGTTGTCTTTTTATCCATTGATTAGAACTTGAAAATCTCATACCTCTAGAGTCCAGCTTCCTAAAAGGATGATAGCACAATCCTAATTTGTGTATTATATGCACCCCTATAAGGTCACCCATAGGAATCATTGACTTCCATTAAAATTTCAAAGATGTTTTCCTACTATTAAAAAGAAATATTCACCAACCCATAATAAAAGTACACTTTAGAATCCTAATTTTAATTTCAAAGGATTGTCCTGCCTTCATTGATGTTCAGTCTGTTAGCATTTAATTCTCTCATAAAACAGCTGTAAGCACTTAGTCAAATGGACAATAAAACCACATGGTGGGATACTCATAAATTAAGATACACCACACAGTAAATTTCCATTTCACAGCAAGTTCTTTCTACTGGTCAGTGAAATATAATGTACATTGTCTGGTTATCTGGAAAGTGATAATTTAAGGAAGCATACATAGGAAGTATCACCATTGTTTATTAATTCATCAAGACTAATCTTAAATCCTTTTTGGGAGTAAGGCAGGGTAAAAAGTAATCATACATGTATTTAATAAGAAAATATTGGTTCCTAAATATCATGTTTAGGTATTTGGCGATGAGTAAGATTTAGTCCCAGTCACCAAGGAGTATCAGGGACCTTCTTAATAGTTTCTTTTTTTTTGTTTTCTAATGACATAATATAGACCGACACCCAGCTACCCATGGTCAGAACATACATATTTTCCTTACATTTTCCCCCTGATTAATGTATTTGGGTGACCTCTGTCTCAAACTTATTTCATCTGGAAGTAGTTGCATGTTGGTGTTTCATTTTATAAATCATGTTCCCAATATTCTTCTGCTTCATTTTCCATTTTTCTAATATGTCTTTTAAAACATAGTCACCAGGTGAATTCTATAGTTTTGGATTTCAACCTCATTTGCGAGCAATGTTTAGAATATAAATTTTCATACAGGTAATTGCAGTGGTTATGGCCACCTAGCCAGACATCCCCCACGTGGCAGAATCTTACATGTTTTTAGGTGACATAAGCACCTCTAGATTGGCACTTTTTAGTTACGGTATTATGACTTCCTTTAAATTAGCTGTGCCAGTTGCCATCAGTCAGTGTTTACTGACCGCAACTGACTGACTGGTAGAAAGAAGTTCCAGGACCTTGTATCTGACCTGTTACTGTGTTGACAGAGCCTTCAAGGCTTTATCTGAGTAACTTCCAGTGAGTTGGAATACTGTAACACCATCCTAAGCAACCCTTTATCAAAGCCTGCTCCCTTCTAATCCCAGGGTACAGCAGAGGCCTCTGACTCCGGGAAAGGCTGCCCTGTGTGCCCCTCCCATCCTAACCTGGCACATGGCTTCTGCAGCTTATCATGATGTCATGTCTTTGGACAAGCTGTCCATAGCAGAGTCACCAGATGTGCAAACATGAAACATTACTTTCTGAAATTTCCTTATTCTCTTGAGCCAAAGCAGTGTTACCTCCAATACTAAACCTGGAAAAAAACAGTGAAAATAGGGAGGTGTCTTAGAAACAGTTCTGAGAACCTTCATCCTGGTCTTCTGACCTCAGCTGCAATTTCAGCCCGTCAGCATTGCCTCATCCCTCCCCCGCATTTCAGTGTCCATGTCAACACTGAGTGCCAGGAATACAAACACATTTTACATTGTTTGATAACTCTTCCTATGGCTGTCTGCCTTGCCTAGTAAATGGGAGAAAAGTGTTCTGCCTCACAGGGAAGCCTGGCCAGGAAGGGAGATCTCCTCCCAACTGCAGAATTCCAGTCCCTTCTAACCAGAGCTGAGCATACCAGATACAGTAGCTAAAAGGTACTGACTTTGTAAGGCTAACTCAGCTCACGCTCAGGGCCCCTCTTTGCTTGGGATCCTGTGAGTATAAGTATGGTCAGGCAGCTAGCAGCTGGCTCTGATTACCAAGAACATCGTCTTGTGCTGACTTGGAGTCTCCTTAAGAGAGTTCTTGGTGCTCGTTTAATTCCTAGTCCCTGTCTCTCCCTTGCAGGAACAAAATTATTTTTTTTTTCCAAATTTTTTGCCTTCTCTTTCCTTTTTGTAATTGAAGGGACCCTCTGAAGTCATTCTCACCATGGCCCCCAGATCTGCAGACTCTGTGGAAGCAGAAGCTCTCGTCCATCCCTAAGACTTCCCACACACATGTTCAGTGAAGAGAGCCTGCACGGATGGCTCCGATTTAAATAGAACCATAGCAACAGCTTTTAGACTTGCGCACTTGGGGCAAAGAGCAGAAGCTCCCTGACCACAGTTACCCATGATGAGCACAGGAAGAAGCAGCAAAAAGACCCGTTAAAAGACAGAGTAGCTGAAGAGCCGAGGACTGAGGAAAGAGAAACTTGGAAGTGTTTATCTCGTCTTTGTTGGGCTTCTTTCTAGTGGTGCATGCGGATAGCTCAGAGTTGATGAGTACCCACTCTGCCCACCGTCACTGGAAGGCTCTGAAAGAGAGGCCATACCTTAGCTTCATGTTTCCAGTGCTTTATGTCTCTAAGAAGTACTAAAGGAACCTGTGTTGAGTCAGTAAAAAACTGAGGTCAAGAGTTCTTTTTTCAGAAGCCTCTCGGGGCCCTGAAGCAGTTTCCAGTTTATTGGAGGAATGGGGAAGCATGTGCGTCCTTGGGGGAAAAAAACCCACAAAGAAGCCCAAAAGCAAATGGAGAGAAGGGGACTAAATAAGAGAATCTGTGGTCAAGTGAAATTGCTAGTTTGGGGGAAGTTTTTAGACCCGTGGCTCTCAATCTGACAGGCGTCCGAATCAGCTGACAGGCTCTGAAATGTGTTGCCGTGCCCCACCCACCCCAAGAGTTTGGATTCAGGGGGTCTTGGCTGGCACCCCAAATTTGCATCTCTGACCAGTCTCCAGGTGCGGCTGCTGCTTTGAGCACTGCCGGTCTAGAGAAATAGAGCTAACACATTTGAATATGGGGGATGGTGAAATGGACTGATTATTGGAGTGGAGGCCTCGTTGAGCTACTTCTTTCAGTTTACTGTAAACAGCTGGGTGACCTCAGGCAAGTCAGGCTCCCTAGGTCTTTTTGGTCTGTAAATGAGGAAGTTGGATTAGATAGTTTCCCAGCGCTAGAAGCTAGCACTGAATGAACCGGGTAGGGTAGAGACCTGCGGTTCACTCTGTCCGGCTGATAGTTCCCTGGTGGCGGTCAGAGCCTTTGGCCTCTGAACCCAGGGGGCTGGCCTGCTGGATTCTTCTATTGTTTCTTCCAAATGTTTGTGGTGATGGGCATTAATCTCTTTCCTTTTTCCCTCTTCCTTTTCTTCATCTTCAACATCTCTAGGAGGAAGAGCAAAAGCAGGCAGTAAGTGAACTTGGAAATTCTCGCTCCTTTTGCATGGTCTTCTTTCCTTCATATAACTGTTACATACCTTTTCCTCTGCTCCCTGCTCAAGTTCGTCTCTGCAGAGTTAGTTATGTGTAAAACCCACAGCAGCTCTCTCTGTGGTGGTGTAAAATGGCCTGAAAGTCCACATCATGTTTACCTAGTAGAGCATGTTCCTACTTCAAACCAGAGCTTGTTGAATTTTTTTTTGAAAGTACACATCTGTTGTGTTTAGTTCAATATGCATGATTAGCCAGGCTACGACTGCATTTTCCTGCTTTTGCATTCTCTGCTGCTTCATGTCTAGAGTGACTTTTATTGCTCGAAACAACTTTCGGGGCTGTGGGGGTGACCTCAGGTCTCGATGCTATGTCATGAATGATTGTGCATGGCAATGTGTAGTTTTTGTGATGACGTCAAACATCCTGTAGTCTCGAACAGGCTTCTGGATGCTACAGCTCCAGTAGCCTTTCTAACAAAGTTACCAGTGAAAACTAAGTGACTGGTTATGACCTAAGCGATTTCCTGTTCAGAGTAGGCTCCAGGAGGAGCTCTGGTTTTTGAGCTGCATGGCCATTGCATGGTGTTTAGGGAAGTTTTATGTTTGTTTCCATTTTTCCAGATAGACTTTAACCCCCAAGAAAATCAATAGGGAGTCTCTCCACAATAGTATACTGTATATGTGTGTCAATGTCTATCCACAATAGTATACTGTATATGTATGTAACATTGGAAGGTTTTTCAAAGCATACTTTTTTTTTTACACAAGGTAAAGCTGATTATTAATTCACCTCAGGGCTTTAATGTTAAGAGAGAGAAATAGGAAATGTTTAATTCAAAAAATTTACTCATTTCTTTTTCAAAAACCAAACTGATCCTTGTTTTAGATTAAGAATTGGAATATATAACATTGTATTTTTTATTTTTGGTTAGGACAATGAAATAATAAAGGGAAGAAGAAAGGAAGGAAGAGATCAAATGAAGGGAGGCAAGAAAGGAGCAAGGGAGAGACAGACTATCAGAAAGAGGGAACAAAGACAGATTATGGGATTAAGCTAGGCAGACAACCCAGAAATCTCATTGGCTTTACTGTAACAAAAGTTTCATCTTGTTTTTTTTGTTTTCCTCATTCGCACATAGTTCATTGCTCTGATCTTATGACACTTCCTCAGTAGGTATATTCACATGCGCAAAGCAGGAGAAGAAGAGGGTGGAAAGTCAAGCCCAGTCATTAAATGCTTCTTCCAGGAAGTGACACACATCATTTCCACTCTATTTCATTGGCCAAAAGCAAGTCACATGACCACACTTGACTTCCGGGAACATGGAAGTATAATCCTCCAGTTGGCTTGGAAGCTGCAGAAAAGCAGATGCTGGTAATGCCTACCACGAGTAGGAGGATGGATGAGCTTGTGTTGAGGGAAGGAAAGAACATCTCCCCTCCCTTCTCCCTGCTCCCCGTCTCCCTGACAGCCTCATCTCCCTGCTGCCGGTCCAGGGCGCCACCTCACCTGTTGCTGCTGCCAGCCAGTGTTCTTCCTCTTCTCTTCCCTCTCCTATACCCCGGAAGATGCACGTCACAGCTAAAACCGCTTGCTGGGAACTTACTACGCCAGCAGTCTTTCCAGACCAGCATCTCCTCATCCCTCTCTGAACGTGCCAGCTCAGACCAAAGTACCTTGCACCTTACCTGCAAACTCTCAGAAGAGGGCAGACATTATGAGTATCTGTTTTAATGGTAGCAGTAGAGCTTCCAGGAGACATTTCCTTTTTTAAGAATATTATGGATTGCCGTGTAATCCAAGAACCAGATATGGCCTCTTCTGGTATTTTGTTTCTCAGGTCAATTTAAAGCTGACTTTGGGGCACCTGGCTGGCTCAGTTGGTAGAGCATGTGACTCTTGATCTTAGGGTCATGAGTTCGATCCCCATGTTGGGTCTAGAGATGACTTAAAAAAATAAAAATATATTTAAAGAGCTGACCTTGAGCAGACAAGGGATTAAATAACATGCTCACTTCAGTGACCTGTGCTTCTGTCTGAGATCGTCATCCTCTTGAATTTGGAAAAATAAGAAGCTAGACCTGGACCACTCAAGCTTGCCTCTAATACAATTGTGTATATGTCTTGGGCTTTCTCCATGGTCGTGGTCCTGAGTTCATGACCTTGTCCTCATACTCTCGTAGGACCACCCATGGCATGAATTGGTACAAACTGTTTTTTTCCTCATCTTTCTCCACAATGGTGTAGGTAAGACATTCTGTTCTGTGGATATAGGTTTAAATATCCTCTGTTTACGTCACAGGACCCACCCAAGGCTCAGCTCTGAGACTTAAATTTGAAATGAATCACTTTATATAATTCAACAACATTTTTAACACCTAGACATATAAAGCTTTAGAACTAGCGCCTCTGTTTTAGTCTCTCTCATTACTGAGTGAGGCAGAAAAAGGTCTTTAGCACAGAGCTAAGTTTTAACTTTCTTCCTTCCTGGGTTCTGGCTAGTATAGCTTAATTTCTTCCCTATCAAAATGTATTACCCTATATGGGTAATAAAATAATCATGAGAGACTTGTACAATGAAGAACTTACCAGACAGGCTTCCCCGGATTGGCTCCATAAGTCCATTATAGAGAACTTTTCATGTAGTCACTTTGTTGCTTCTTTCCTCGTTAGGCATTATTTTGGCATTGGGGGGATCTGGGAGGAATGGGTAATGACGGTGACTTAGCCGCCCTCGTGCTGTGGGCCTGCCTCCAGCCTCAGCCACCTCTCCAGTGCCGTGAGTGGCACCAATACCTCAGCTGATAATTCTTGTCTTTCCTCTCCCCTCCCTCCTTCCTTTTCTTCTCTTTTCTCAGTTCCGAGGGTTGTAATTAAGGGCAGAACTGCCTGGCTCTTTCAGATAAGACTTCACCGAGTGACTCTTCAACCCACGATATACCCTCCAGTTTAACAGGCTCAGGAATTAGATTGTATCAGTCAAGTCAGAGTTAATCAGGCCCAGGATAATCATCAGACTGTAATTAAAGGACTTTGTCTGCCTTTCTCACTACTGCATCCCCAGTCACTAGCCTAGTGCCCGCCACGCAGCAGATACGCAATAAATAGTTGCTGACTGAAAACCAGTATTAACCGGACTTAGAAGATTTTTTTTTAAGAATTTATTTATTTATTTGACAGAGAGAGAGAGAGATCACAAGTAGGCAGAGAGGCAGGCAGAGAGAGGAGGAAGCAGGCTCACTGCTGAGCAGAGAGCCCGATGCGGGGCTCGATCCCAGGACCCTGAGATCATGACCTGAGCTGAAAGCAGAGGCTTAACCCACTGAGCCACCCAGGTGCCCCCAGACTTAGAAGATTTTGAGTTAAAAGGCAGTGTGAATTCATAAGCTCATTAACTATAAGGGACATAACTGCTTCGAGTACCTATTGCAGTCACTTTGCTCAAGGTACTGCTGTATAATACGTCGTCCCAATCAGGAGACTAAATTATGGCTCAGAAAAGCCCTAAAAAGGAATTTCAGGGTTGCCAAAAGAATAGGCACACCAGGCTAATGTCTTAGCATTATTATTAACTCTATTTTTATTTCTGTCTAAAGAACAGGTACTGATTATGTAAAATTAAATCATCCTCTTTTTTAAATGCAGACAATCTATAAAATGTGGGTTATCTATAGTTATTTGTATCACTTGAAAATATTCTGAGCTTTGCTTAGTAAAAACCCAGGGCCCGCAGCCTGGCTGTAGGACTCAGCAGCATGATACAAAACAAAGGAGCTCACTAGGGTAGCAGCAGACGGACGAGTAAGGCCAAGAATGGTGTTTACTCCTGTTGGTGCACTTGAGCTTTGGGTTCCCCCAGTCCTAGTCTGGAGAGATTTCAGACATATAAATTCATTCTAGTTACATCTCAGTGTTCCATTTTTCCCAGAGACTCCGTATACTATAAAATTTTACAGCTGGATTGCTAACACCAAATAAAATGAACTGTCCAAGACAAGGGATAGAGTTTATTCATGAAAGATGTTTCCTTGAACATTTCTCTGAATTCTTCTATCGGAAGTCACTATCTTTTATATACAGATCAATATCAGCCTTAGAGACTCTAACTCTAGATAGTAACATATAAGGATAAGGGGCTCCCGGGGGGTTGGGGGGGGGCCCTGATCTGCATTAGTAGTACGGTAATGGTCCAGAGGATTATAAATAGGACTCTGAAAATTCTGTAATTAGAGGAATCTTGGGGATTCTACTCTTAGAGCATTGCCACACTTGGAACCTCTCTTTTTACTTCAGTAAGTTGGGATGTCAAGTGGGATCTTGCCCCATGCCCTTTCTGATTTCCAGGATCAGACGAATAACCCACTACAACTGCACTAAAGAAAGCACGGTGTGGGCTGGCTCTTAGAAGCTGGCATCTCTGATCTGGCTGCCCTAGATATGCCTCAGAGGAAAGCCACTCAATATTTAGTGAGCCATGGTTGCTCTGTGAGGACTCCAACAAACCTCATGAATATTAACCTTGTAAGTTTAAGAGAAAGTACTTTTTAAAAAACTCTACCCAAAAACAAATGAAAACTTCCTTTGTCCATTAAAGAGATTATTAGTGAACCCCTTGATGTGCTTATGGACCATTTCCCCTCTTGTTTCACTTAACCTTTGGACACAAACTCATTCGGAAGTGATTCAGATTCACATGCCTTTAAATCTTCTGGATTCTTGGACCCCACCGTACTCTGAAGTAGAAGCTGAGTCTACTTCTACCCCAAGGCACAGAATTGCCATTCATTTATTTATTCAGCAGTGTCTTACTACACATGTTCAAGGCAGTGAACTTGGCCTTTTGGAGGATCATGAGAGAAATCCTACAGAAATACCACCCTCAGAGAGTACAACATTATTTCACTGTTGGCATGATACCTTAAATACAGAAACACAAGCCAGGTCAGTGATACCCTGAACCACAGACACCACTGCTGT